TTGCCTCTTAGTGGGCATGCTTAAGCCCACTTGCCCAATTCTTGATCTTATCAAGAATTGACAGAATCTTATCAAGAATCTTATAAGATCCCAGTTCTCGAGATCTTATCAGGAAGCTGCTGATTACCAGTTTCAGGTGTTTCTGTCCATCGGGAGACTGCCTTTCCCTGGCACTTACCCTTTTTATAGATCTGTTTCAATTTAGTGTCATTTTCCCTCTACCCAAAAAGCTTTCTTTAATATTTTTGTAGCCTTTGCATATGCCATTGCTTCTGCTTGAAAAATGCTCTTCCCCACCACCTGCATGGTCAGTTCCCTCAATCCTTTATGTAGTTTGCTCGAATGTCGCAGTCTATATGGGGTCCTTTAACCATCTTTCGATATTGCAATGCTCTGTCCCCGTGACTCTCTCTGTAACCCCGCCTTACTTTATTTTTCTTACAACACTTAATATCTGATGTGTCTGGTAGTTTGGTAGTTTCCCCGTCATTAGAATGTAAGCTCCATGAGGATGGAATTTTATTCATATTTTTTTTCCACCCATATGACTATACACCACTTCCTAGTTATGTTACCAGCTGAACGTACCCCAGTCACACAGCACCAAAGTATGTAAGAGGTGGCGAATCCATACGGATCAGCAGCAACCTCAATTCTTGTCTCCTCAGAAGAAAGAATCCAAACGAAGAGCAGAGTGAGAGACTGAGGCAAGTTTAGAGAAGGAGTGAAAATTTATTAAAAACTTCTCCCCTGATTATTCCCTTGGGGTGGGCTGTGCACATGCGCAGGGGCCCAGTAGCACTGGGGAGGGGCCGCATGCGTAGTGCGTTTACTGGAGTTGTACGCATGCTCACATGAGGCGTTCTTCCTTTACCAGTCCAAATGTTATACCAGTTAAACTCCGCCATTTTGCCTCTTAGTGTTCATGCTTGAGCCCGCTTACCCGGCTCCTGAGATCTCATCGGGAACTGCTGATCAGCAATTGCAGGTGTTTCTGTGTATTGAGAGACTGCCTTTCCCTGGCATTGGCTGTGACCAATTGTTTTAGAGAGATAGCTTAACAACTACCTCACCATCACTTGATGGTTGCCTGACATTCCTGATTGGTGAGGGAGAGAGAGAGGGGGTCAGGGGACTCTCCTGCCCTGTTCCTGTCTGACTAGCTACCTGCTGTAACAATTATACTATTACTAGTGATAAACCTATCACTTGTGCCTATGACAGGGCCTTGCACAAGGTAGATCACCAATGATTATGGTTGGATTAATAAACAAGGCCTCTCTTATGCCCCCAAGAATAGCAGAGACGCTCTTCTCCCCTCTTATTCGGAAGCTACTCTCAATTATATATAAGATGGTAAGATTAGTCAACTCACTCTCATCAGGTGGTTAACGTGCTAGTGGTTAATCCAATCCAGATACTTGTTCCAATAATTAGACCCATGCTGGATGTGTTCCTTCAGCTCAGCCCTGCCTGCTCTGAAACTATTTCGGAACCAGTGGCTTTGGTTGGGCACTGGAAATACATAAAGAAGAAGACATACATGCTGTCTCAGGGTACTCGTGGGTCTCTAGCCAGGAGTCAGACGACATCACCACCATCACAAGCTGGTGATGCCAGAGAGGTGTGAATGGAGAACAGAGTTGAAATTCATATGGAAGTGACCAGTGGAGTTGTCAGGGAAGTTTTAAAAAGAAAATAACAAGTAAACTGGGTTTTGACAAAAAATAAAATAGATATTTATTTTCTGCATGTGAGTACATATCTAAAGTAGAAAAGTATAACAGTTCAAAAAAAAAAATACAGTTATGTGGTTCAGGTTAATGCCCACAGGCCGGAAGAAAGCTCAGAGCCTTCTCTGTGAGTGTAAAGTTTATCCAAGTCACCTTGGACACCATCACATTCTCTGCTTAAGCAAAGCTGCTTGTCAGAGGAGTTTCTGCATATTCTGAATATTCAGGGACTCTCCTGGCCCTGCAGGTGCCTCAGGAAGCCCTAGAGAGAAAACACATCCTCATTGGTGAAAGGATCTCACGTGGCTCTTGCCAAGGGTGAGCAGTGTAGAGGGAGCATAATAAACTCTCTTAGACAACATCTGATTTCCAACAGCTGTCCCACTTCCGAGGCTTCGTGCTTTCAGTGCAGCCACCGCCAATGCAATATCCTCCGGTTTAAGGTTAGGTACCAGAAATACTTCTGCCAGAAATTCTTGATGTAATCAAAATGGGATTTTCATGGACTTGCACAATTTTAGGATCTGGGAGAAGATCCTTACCCAGGCCTGCTTTGAGGCTGGCTCTCAGTGTGTCCCACAGTGAAATAACCCGACATCTGACTTTGAAGCCAGGTTCTTGGGTCAGTTCTTACCTTTTTGTGTGTATCAAAGAACTCCTCCAAATGCTTCCTTTCCCCACCCATCTGTCCCCACAGACATGTACCCCAATGCCCTTAACTTGTTCTTAAATGAGTAAACAAAGCTTCAGTAACATATAAACATGATTTATGAAAACAAATCTCTCCCCAAATCTGCTTAGAGAAGCAGTGTCACATAACTGTAAGCAAAGATGAAAGACCACGATTAACAGGGTCCACATCTGTTTGGGGGAGGACGCCACTTGAGTCTCTGTCAGCCTTTACCTCAAAGAATGTGTACTCTAGGTCGATAATGAAACTCGCAGCCCATCTGTCTTCTGGTGTGCCCTGTGCTGTGCTGAGAACTTCTCATCCACTGGATCTCATGGAGGTTCACAGTCATGTGAAGAGGGGGTCTTGTCTTCACCTGCATCTTGCAGGTGAGTGGACAGAGATGCGGAAAGCATGAGAGCTAGTGCAGAGAAGAGCTGGGGCACCAGCAGTAGGACTGGAGGCAGGACAATGTCTTAGATTACTACCTGGATGGACAAACTACATAGATGAAGATTTAAAAAACAACAACAACAACAACAAAACCTGGACCTGATTTATAAAATTGAGATGTCTCCATTGATCCAGTTGCTTGCATCATGTGTTAATTCTCTGCTGTTCTCTTTCTCATGTAAGCACCACCTGTCTTCCACATTATGATATGAAGCTGAAGATCCACCCCACTAGGTCAACGGGGACACTAATTGGGGAATATTTGAGGTGCAGAGAGGAGGAAGATGCTACATCCTGTGAACCTCAGTAAGGGGGATGCCTCTGTGTGTAGGGATGTCAAGGCCCTGGCCCTGTGTCATCCCCAGACAAGCCCTGTATCACCCTGGGAGCTCTGCAAGGACAGAATCTGCGTGACACTTTGGGAACTTCTAGGATGCTAATCAGAGGTCTTCTCTTCTGAGTCCTCAAACAAATGAGAAGTAGACCCTAGGGTCAAGGATGGATGAAAATATCAGCATGGTGGTTTGCAGAGCTAGATTGGATCTGCAGAGAGCCCAAGGCTCCCTGTCTTCCTCTGCCTAGTCTCCAGCCACTGAGTCCAGGCAGCTGTGTGCCCATTGTTTCTGGGGGCAGAGACAGAACCGGGCCGTAGACTTGCTATGGGGAGGCATATCTGCCATACGGAAGCAGAAGCCAAGAGCATCTTTCCCCTGTGGTCCCTAAAGGAAAAATTGAGGAAGACCACAGGGAATAGCAAATCTTTCATAGCTTAAGACACCCATAGACATCAGACTCTTCTCACCCTTCCCAGCAGCTGTCCTTCAGGAAAGAGGAAATGGAGTGGGAATTTTTCCCCCAATACTTTCAGGACAGAAGTCATCATTTGCTACTATCTGAATGTTTGTGTTTTTCCCAAATTCCTATAAGGAAATTCACCCCCAAGGTGTTGGCCTTAGGAGGTGGAGCCTTTGGAAGGTGATTAAGTCATGGAGATGGAGTCCTCATGCATAGGATTAGTGTTTTTATAAAAGAGGCCCAAGAGAGATCTCTTTTTCTTTTCCACCATGTGAGAACACAACAAGCAGTCACCATCTATGAACCAGAAAACTGATTCGCCAGACACTGAATCTGCCAGCACCTTGGTCTTGGACTTCCCAGCCTCCAGAAATGTAACAAATAAATGCCTGTCATTTGTGGGCCACTCAGTCTATAGTATTTGGTTAAAGCAGCCTTAATGGACCAAAACACCATTCCTGTGCCCATCAGCAGCATGAAGAATAGGAAATGATGTCTTCCCACTGTAGGTGTCACTGTTGACCTCCATCACACCTTCTTGCATCCACACCCTTGCTGTGACCTCATCGCGGGTGGCATATGCTTCCCTGACTCTGGGCTCTGAGGTTGGCTATATGATTTACTTTTAGCCAATGGAATGTAGATGGAGATAGGAGGGTGCCAATTTTGGATGAGGCATTTAGAAGCCCTTGGGTGTCAGTAGACCCTCTCATGCCTCTGATATCACCATGCAGAGAACATGCCCCAGTTACCTCTCTGGTCCAAAAAGTGTGAGAGACAGGTGGAAAGAGACATGGTAGACACCCTAACAATCCCAGATGCAGAGCTGCTTAGTCAAGACCATTCTAGATCATCCAAGTCCTAGCCAACTCATAGACACCCAGATGGTAATGCAGGATTGCTGCTTAAGTCCACAAGTTTTGGGGCTGTCTGTTATGCAGCAACGACTAACTCATACACTTACCTTTCGTATTTATTTTGGAATCCCCCAGGCCTAGCAAAAGTCCCAGAATAGTGTAGGTGCTCAAAAAGTATTCGTTGTTTGAATGAATGAATGAAAACTCCTTTTTGTAAACCAGCTCATCATAATGTCTCACTAATGGCTGCCTTACATTGCAGTATTTATCTCTGTGATTTTGGAGGGATAATTTAAAAAAAAAAAAAAAAAACAAGGCAAGACAGTAACCTCTCTTGATATGAGCTGCCAAGCATTTAAAGTCCTAGGAGTCAGAGATCACCTGGCTGTCTTCAACATCACCTGCAGGCAGCTGGTGCATCACACACTATGGTGTGATGAAGCCAGCCTCCTTCACCCCCCTCTAAACTCCGACGGGAAGAAATGACCCAACATGGCCATGCATTTATCTGGAGTCAATGCTGATTCTGACTGCATGACCACCTTTACCCTCAGGCATGTGAGTCCCATCAGAGAGGTTGCTAGTATGATATCAGATCCACTTTTCTTCCTATTTTTCAGAGGAAATGTTCCAACACATCCGAGGAAACACATGCCTTCCCAGACTGGCCTGATGCTGTTTCCCAGGAGCTGCATTCTGGAAGGTGGACCATCAGGTGGAAGAAGTATTCTTCAGAGAGCTGCCTTCCCAAGGGAATGGTGACAGCTTGCGCTTGCCGGGGAGTCCTGCTGCCTTCCGAGGTGTGAAGGGAAGGCATGCACTGTGCATATGCTGTACCATACAGTTTTGCCTACAACTGCTTGTAGCTTCATTGTAGCTGTGAATGCTCTGTTCCTCTCCTTTTCACCCCTGAAGATTCGCGAACATGCAGGATTGAGCTGTGCGAGGCATAGCATTCCCCACATGGTAGGCGAAGGAGGATGTGGGTCTGACGGCTCTACCGCCGCCCACCCGGGTGAATGGACATGTGTTCCAGGGTATCAGAGCTTGCGGCTGACCAGCCGACGTGTCCACAGGCAGCCCTCCCACTGGCTGTGTCGACATGTTGGGTTTCATTGAAGGATTTTACTGGTACAGACTTTACAAAGGCAAAATTGTTTCTCAAGGAAGTGGGCATGAAAGATCTCAAATCAGAGGCTGCTAAAAATGAGAGGCCATCAGTTGCAGAAAAGCAAGCACAGATTAATGACCTATCTATGTCCTACACGGTTTTAGGACTGCGCCTAGATGGGCTTAAAGACCCTAGCCTAAAAACTATAAATGTGCTTCCGTCTTTGCCCTGTAGGACAAGAAAGCCTTACAGACTTGCTTCTAACTGTGAGAGGAGGAGAGGCCAGGAAGGGAGAGGGGGAAGAGGAGGAGAACAGGAGACGAGAAGGAGGGGAGAGGGAGGGGAGGAGGAGAGAGTCTTGTCAAAATCTTTTTAGTGCACAAAACTAATTTTGTTCATCTTGGATTTGGTGAGCTGGATAATATTCTGCGCACAGCTCCTAAATGAATTATTAAATGTCAACTCAAGATGGCTTAACTAAAATACTCAATTTAATAACCAAAAGTATCGAAGGTAACAACAACAATTTTGCAGGTGATTGTAGAGTTGTCAAGTCAAACCATTATAGACAAGCATTTGGGGTTTTCACATAATCTCCTTCCACATCTCATCTTCTGTCACTAAATACCCACTCTGGTGAGCATATTCCATTTCAATAAAGATCATCCCTTCGGTGCCAGCTTCTTTTTATTCAGATTGAGCCAGAAAACCTTTTTTTTTTCCTAAAATATAAAGCTAAACAAGATCTCAGTCACAACCACCAAATCTTTATTAATGCATTCCTTGTGCTACTTCTGAATATTAATAAAAATTAATAATTAATTTTGCCTTTGGCATTGCAAGATATACTAGTTTTAATTAGTGTACTGTACTCCTATACAATTAAAAAATAATTGATGTCCACGCTTATTGGCGGTGTCTGTGATCTTCCTTTCTGTTGTTGTCAACAAATGCCTTAAAAAACAAGTTCAAGAATGTTGTGCTGTCCACTTGATTTACACACCCAAAGTAACAGGCAAATCTTTTATGATGAAACAGAACAGTTTTCTGTTTAAATTATACACAAGTATATTAACTAGAAAGAGAAAATTAAAAGCTGATGGCTACAAGGAATAATGGAAAGTCTATAAAAATGTTTTATCTATCAACAAATTTGCCTGGAAAATATCAATGGTTGGCACCATCTCTCGGCTGAAACATGGAGAGGCCATCTTGGATCTGTTATGTCAATTCCATCAAGCATTTAATTCTGACGTCCTCCTTAATCAGCTTCAGTTATTTAAATTCAGCATATCATGTTACTGTTATACTACATCATTTTAATTGTGCCATGAACTACTTTATTATAGAATGCTAAAGTATTTCCCTGTGCCTCCTTCTTCCTCTTTCTGAACAATGCCGACTGTAGAGAGACAGCCCATGGTGAAAGGAGGGAAATCGCTTCCTTTGAAAATATTTGTGTCAAGAATCTTGCATAGAGAGAGGGTGGTGGTTGTTTTAGCAAGAAATAATTCAAATCCCACAGCACATGTTTCTTAGTTTTCTTTCTCTGAGCCAGGATTTTTATTTTTTATGAAATCTCCATTGAACAACTACAAATGTATCTGTAATACCAAGAGGTAATAGGCTAAGAGGAAAGAGACTTAGGAAAACACACGGCAAGGAAGAAAGAGTCAATGTGAGATGCGGATTTCACACTTTACCCTGGACTCACTGGTTAATAAAGATGTTTAAGGCAGAAAAATCACAAATTGATGCAAATTTTTATCATATTCGTGATCTTAACAGCAATTTTGTTTTTTTAAAAAATCTACTCTACCAAAATATCTGTCCTAAAAATGTAATCTTTCGTTTATTTTTCATAATAGAATTGGCTTCAGAGAATTTATCACAATCTAAAATCATCTTGGCCATGTATCTGTTTACTTGTTCATAATCTGCATCTCCTCCTAGGTCCAAGTGCATGAGCCCCGGTGCCTGACTGTTCCCTTCACAGCTGCACTCACAGTGCCAAACACAAGCTCTAGCAGAGCACTGGCATTTCACAAACATCCGTGGAATGAATGTATTAATTCTGACTCAAAATACGTTTTTATTCTTCCCCTTTCTAGAGTCTTCTAAATTTTCTTTTCCCATGCCCATCAAAATGTGAATGGATTAACCAGCTGTGGTCTAACTGGAGAATGTCCATTACTCAG